CTGTAAAGTTGAAATTCAGAGGGACCGGAACCACTGGCATGATTCTTAACCGGATCATAACCCGAAGGAAAATAACCAACAACAGGAGCTGTTTTATTGGGATGCTCATGGACAACCTCCACCGCAACCTCAATTCGATCAGGTTGAGGGGGAACATCTTTTTTCTTCTTGTTCTTCTCCTTTTTGGGAGTTTTGGATTTTGGTGCATCAGTGTCCGAATCCATTACGCTGTATCGATTAAAAATTATCAGATTTCACGCAAAGAACAGATAGAGATGTTGACAAAGGTTCTTCAGACACACAAATCGTAGGCACAGTAAAATTCACAGATTTTGAAATCAAAAAGTGTCTTTTGGTATGCAAAACCTAAATAAAATACACAAATTAATAGAAAGACAAACCCTAAAACCAACTAAAAAATCAAACAAAAAAGGGTTACCGACCATTACAAAGTGTTCAACCCGGATGCTAGGGTGTCTGCTACTGAACAGAGAGAACCCTAAACCCCAACTGAACCCAGGATTGTATAAAATAAAACACTAGCTCCTTCTAACCAAATCATTTTTACATATATTATTATCTATGATTATTAATACACAGAAATCTCGATTGTACATAATCTATTAATTTTACATTAATTAATATAATTTATTTTTATTATTTTTATTATTTTTGATAACCATATTTTTAATAATTTAAATAACATATTTTATTTTAATAACTATGATGAAAAAAATTATTATCATAAGCAAAGAATGAATACACGTATTACTAATTATTATTATTTCAAATTTTAAATTATTATTATTAGTATAACTATTAATATTATACACTAAATTTTCAAAACGTGATTGTTACAAGTTAGATTTTTCAAATCCTAAAACATAGAAGAATAGTTGAAAATTATGTTATTTTAAAATATTTAATAATTATTAAGAAAGAATATTTATCTTTGTAATCCCAATATACATAATTCATTGTTGATTTTATGATCATTAATATAATTTATTTAATTATTTTATTCTTTAGATTTTTCTAATTTTAATTTAATTCAATTAACTATTTATAATAAAAAAATACAAGTGATAAAAATTATTTATTTTCTACATGTTTCCATAAATTATTATTATTATAGATATTAAACATTAAATTATTATTAGCGTATTTTTGTTATTGTACACTAATTTTTTAAAATGTGATTATTTGAAGATAGATTTCTCAATTATTAAAGTCTACAATTATAGTAGAAAATTATATGTTATTTTAAAACATTTAAAAAGAATTTAGTATTATAATATAGACATGTTTTCCTCTTGAAATGAAAAAATAAAAGATTTATTTGGACAATAAAATATAAATTTGATTTTCAAGAGATTAATTCGGTATATAACAATATTTTAATAGTTTTAAAATATAAAAAAAGTTCGAAATACATGTTACAAACAATCTTTTTTAGATGGTATATAATGAAAGGGCTAGAGAATAATTGTTTAAACTATTTTTGTGACATATCTTAGGTGGTTTTAATTATTTACAAAAAAAAATTAGGGTTTAACATTACATTTTTGTCTTTAACAGAAGATTTTTGGAACCTTCATGAAGCCCATGAAAGAATATGTGGGGGTGTAGAAAGCAATATAGGAATTGATCCATATTTTGGTGGTATTTTGGTTCTAATTGATGCTGGACTTATACCAGCCTATAAATTTCAAAATTCCGACTTTACTCTTTAGTTAAAAATTTTATTTTTAGTTTTAGATGGTTTAATTTAGAGACATGCATTTAGTATACAATTTTTTATTCTATATCTTACCTTTCGAATCCAAAATAAAAAATATATTATGAATTGTATAATCTATAATACAAAATTTTTATCCTATTTTAAATTATACAATTTAAATATTAAAATTGTATTTTAAATTACACAATTCAAAATGTATTTTAAATTTTTTATTTTAGATTAAAAATTTAAAATAAAAATTTAGAATATAAATAAAAAAATATATTTTAAATTTATATAATTTAAAATGTACTTTTCTATAAACATACATGGAATGATGCTGAAAAACAAAAAAAAGAAGAGTGCAAGTTGATGTAAAAAGAAGATGAAGAACAAGGAAAGAGAAAAATACAAAACTGGTGTAGAAAGAAGATGAAGAAAAAAAAAACATCATTTGACCAAGCTACGGATAAATGTGCATATTGAACATAGGATAACGATACTTTAACAATATTTTTTTGACAATATTTTAATATCATCTATATTTTATTATGTGATTGTTTCATGTTGGTGTTTATGATTATTATTATTGATTATCGAGTAATTTTTGGACCAATGATACGTAAATAATATTAAAATATTGTCAAAGTATCATTATCCTTTAAGATATATGGATGTGCAAGGAAAAACTCTATAGACCTATTTGCAAGTCATTTTATACAGTTACAACATTTTAATGGAAGTCCATTATGTCCAATATTTAAAATTTGAAATAAAATCTATCTATTTATTTATAAAGTGAAGAAATTATGAAATTAATTTTGGAAATTTGATTTATAATTCATCATGATTCAAATTTCCAATCAATTAGTTTTAGAGAATAAGCGTGTACCACTTATGTTAATCAATGTTTTTTTTAGTACAATATAATAATTAAATCTCAAAAAAATCTGTATTACTTTTTGTTTATGTTTTTATAACTTTTTTTACATCATTAAGTTATATAAAAATAATAAAAACATATTACCAATTTAATTAATAATTTGGTTGTTATTAAGTTTTATATTATTTTTTACTTAATTCAGTCTTAATTTTTGTTAAATATAATAAAGCAGTTTTGATTAAAATTATTGTTGTTAATTATTAAATTTCTGTATTTTTTTATATAAAGATAATTTTTTTTTCTTGGAAACAAATTCAAAAATCATAATTGGATTCATGTGACATAAATATACATTAGATAAAAATGAGGATCTTTTATTTATGAATTAAATCTAAAACAGACTATCTTTAATGCTAAAAGAAATTATTTTGATGAGATTGTGTCGTCAAAATGAAAAAAAAAAATTAGAGAAGTGCATGAATCATTTTCTAACAATATTAATGTTATTTAACTAAAAGAACAATCCTCTCTATTTAAAAAACAATATATAAAGACTTTATTCAGTTAAAAGAAATATAAAGATCACGTTAGCTCATATATTTAAATATAAAAACTAAATTAGTAACTAAGCTTTTTATTAGATCAATAAGTGGTCATTCAATTTAAAAAAAAAAAATCACATAGATCTTATTTAACAAAAATTATATTTTAATTAAGTAAAAAAATTAATATAAAGACTAAAACAAATTAAAGATTCATTAACAAATCAAAATATTTCTAACATTAAATCCGAACTACTACCATGAACAGTACGTTTAGTATAGTTATAAATTTAGCTTTAATTTTTTAAAATGTAACAAGCTTTAAATTTTTAATATATGAAACTTTTTAAATTATTGTTTAGGTTATGCATATATAAAAATATAGTAAGTATATATGGTATTGTTAAATAGTTTTATTGTATCAACTAAAAATGTTAACAAAAAATACTGATTTTACCCGTTATTATTGTTAAATCAATTTATACACTGAAACTCCTAATGAATCACTATAATTTATCAACAGTTATCTCTATTTTAGATAAGAATATGAAATTGATTAGCAGGAGACAGTATAGTAGTGTGTGATTATGCATTATATTTTGTAGTTAGAAAAGGAGAATTAGTTTTGACATTCTAGAGTTTTAATAGTTATTATAATTGATCTATCAAGAACAATGGATTTTTATAGTATTGTGAGAATTAACAAGAGAGAAATTTAACGTCAAAAAATAGACTACATTAAAAAAAAATTCTAAATGTATGATTACTTATATAATATTCCAAACAGAATGGTTTCTCTTATCAAAAGGTTTCAAAATTTAATTACCTAAAATTTATAAGATAATTTGAATTAAATTTAATCTAATAAAACATAACTTAATTATATTTTAAATTAAATTAAATTAAATTAAATATAAATTAAACTTTTTTTAAGTAACAAATATATCCATAGATCCAATAGTATAATACTCACATTCAATATATTTATAAGCTAGTTTTAAAATATTCATTACCCATTTTTTTAGATGTTTTGTCTTTAATTATTATATACTATTCAATCTTTCTAAAGATTAATACGTGTATTTAAATACAGTTATAATTATACATCACTTTTTAGTACATATAAAACAATATTATTTATTAGGGGGGGGGGGGGGGGGGGGGGGGGGGGTGGGGGGGGGGGGGGGGGGGGGGGGGGGGGGGGGGGGGGGGGGGGGGGGGGGGGGGGGGGGGGGGTTGGGGGGGGGGGGGGGGTTTGTGGTGGGGGGGGGGGGGGGGGGGGGTGGGGGGGGGGGGTCGACTCATAATTTATACTTAAGTTGTTAATATTTATTTGGTCTGAATATTAATTTAGTCTCATGTATAAAATAAATTTGAGAAGGTTTTTAGGAGGTTCCTCCTTCAACCATTTTCCCGTTTTCTTTATTTGGTTTCTTAGATTTTTTAGCCAGTTGCTATATTATAATTTTGATATTCGAAATTTCATTTTATATTATAAAAACTTGCACATCACATAAATGAGTATATTTTTTATAGACATAAATAAGCCCTTCAAACTCATAACACACATTTTTTAAAGTTGAAATTTCTGGTGATCTTTTAAATCTCTTAAAAAATATCATCTGAGAGAAAGAAGAAAAAAGGTGATTAAATTTCGCAAAAGATAAAAACAGTTTTCTGCATTAGTTCTCATGTTAGTTATTAATATACGTGTGTAAAATCTTGATTAGCAAAACCAACATCTCACAACGTGTGATATATTTGTCTGCAAAATTATCAAAGGTGGTAAAGATAATTTTTGTCGCATTAGTCAGTTAAGCCCTATATTTGAGACAGATAATTGAAAACTATAATATGATAATTGCAACCATATAGGCTTCAATAATTAATACACAATTATCTCTTGATTGATAAGGCTATGCATGCCATAATGTATCAAATCATATTATGTCATATTTTTATTCTTTTTCTTTTCTAAACCCTAATTCTAGTTATCTTCTTTTTCAGCTACTATCTGTTCTTCAACTTCAAACACCATTGGAAAAAACAATGTTTCTAGGTTCTCTCTGTATTAAATCCATGTTACCTTCTGTGTACAAGTGCATGTCTCAAATCATCATATTTTCTCATGCAATAGTTATTCCTATATATTTATACATTGTTAATAGTTAATATTTAAGGTAGTTTAACTTTTTTCCCTTTTAATATTTAAAGTATTTCTTAAAAATAAAACAGAATTTTAGTCCTCAAATATATAATAATTAATTTTAACGATATCACTCGAAGATCGATGATCATTCGTTCTTAGAGTCTTCTATTACAAATAAATTATAAATGATTAATCATTCTTTTTAGATTTCGATAGCAGAACTCTACACTCTCTTAAACCTACAATATGTAAAAAT